CGGGGGTGGGGGGAGACAGGGAGGAGGGGAAGGGCAGCTGCAACAGCAGTGGCTGTGTTTGCACTTTGATCAGTGCGGTGCATGGCAACGCCAGGTGCCCTGCTGGGGGGAGACCCGAGAGGGAGCTGCACTGCTGCAGTCAGACCCGACCCCCCCACCACCCCCAAGCCTCCCCAGAAGACTCCTGCTGCTTATAGAGACACCTGCAGCTCTTACTCACCTTCCACAGCCAGGGAGAACTTCCTCGGCCCAGCTCCTCCCATCAGTTTCAACTACTTTTTCACAGTTATTGCCACTATTTATTGGTGGTTTTGAATCAAAACCAGCTTGTCACTTTTCCACACATTTGAAAATAGCTCCCTGCCCAAAGAGTAGCTCTGTGGTCTCATCCGACAAAATGTGGAGGAAGGCTGGGAAGGGGAAATGCAGCATGAAGGCAAATGGGGTGACTTTTTTTACTCCTGTCAAAAAATATGGCATATTTTTTCATGTTATAGTAGCTTTCTTGCTGTCTGTGACAGTGGTTAGAGAAAAATAATCACCCTTATAGGGTTATAGAGTTATAGAGAAGTAAGGCTGGAAGGGGCCTCCAGAGTAGTCCAACCTCCTGCCTGACTGAGGCAAGATCATCACTATCCAAACCATCCATAATCTAAACTCTACATAAGGATACCCTCAACCCTGACACAACCAGACCTAACACCCCATATGATTACTTAGTGGTTATTGTGTTCTGCTGGGGGAGACTTTTATAGCAGAGAGCTGAAACAGTTGCTGATGATTCAGAACAGGCTACTAGTTGTGTGTGTGTGTTGGTTTTGTGACAGTCTGACTTTTGCCCTGATTTCCCTCCCCCCTGTGTATTTAAGCAGGCAATGTTTTCTACTAAATACTTTTAAGAAATGGTACAGTGTATCTCACATTTCATTTTGGAGGTGTTTAGGATTTAAAGTAATTAAATGCAAGCATTATAATGAGGCCATTAATGCTGTGCAGATTTATCGTAAATTAATTCAATTTCCTCCATCCGTGTAACTATGTTGTGTTGTTTGGTTCTGCCTTCATAGAAGGTCTGGAAGATGTCTTCTGCCTACGTCTTCAAACACATGTATGACATCTAAAGTGTTGGAGAAAACATGTGACATTTCTGGTGGGGAGGCTGCACAATTTTGTGTAGTGTCAACTTGTGGCTGGGGAAACTTCGTTTAATAAACTGCTCATATGTTATTTTATTTCAACTTTATACCCACTGTAACTGTTGGGGAGTCCTAAATGCCTCTCACTCATTTTTGCTGTGCTGGGTGTGTCACTACATTCCTCCTCCAAGATACTCTGATCCCAGTTCAGTCTGAATCCTAATGATTAGATCGGGAGAGAAGCCGATTGCGAGGGGTAGTTTCAAGGGAGTTGAGATGAAGAGGCCAGTGATCATCACACCCCATGGTAACAAGGTGATCCTAGGAAAGAACAATGGTCACAGGCTGTGATTCAGTTTCGCTGATCCCCACTGAACTGGCCAAGGGCTCCTTATCTCAGAGGAATGGGTAGGAACACAGCAATCTGAACCTGAGCTGTATAAAACTCCCCCACACAAAGGCAGAGGGGTGGAAGTCTGGAACTTGCTTCATCGCTGAGGACTCATTCACTCACCACCAGGTAGTGAGTGAGTATGTCTGTATATTCTCTGCTGTATGGAGCTGCTCTGGTTAATACTGTCTGATTAATGACATCCCAATAATTCCATATATAGTTTGGAGAAACTTCCTCTGGCTTCTCTTGTACTTCTCTAGATAAAATAAAAGCCCTCAGAGACATCCTGGGTATAACAAAAGAGTGGTGTTATCTAGGGATTATTTGTATTTAAGGCCTGATGTTAAGATCTATATAAATCAGTGGAAAAACTATTGAGTATAGCAGGGTTTGGATCAGCCCCATTCTGTGGGAGC